ATACCACAAAGTAAGAATTTTTTGCCATTTATTTTACTTAACAAATGTAACCTGTTCTAAAACTTGATAGATATTCATTATTCTCACCCGAACAACACATTTTTCTTGACAAACCAGTTTTTTATTGTTGAAAATATTGTGTTTGAAGCACACTGGGTTTCGGGCCACGCCGTCATGTTTACATTTCATTTCCCGCGAAAAAGAACGATATCTTTGCGTGAATTTTAATGATAAATGTCGCACTCTGAAACTAAGTTTAGCCTATTTATGCTCTTCTTTTATTGCTAGGTTCAAAAAATAACCCTTGGTATAATATTGTAACCTTTTTGTACTGAATTTCTACTGAAACGTAGAACGCATAAATCCACCATTTTTAAAAGTTTAAACTATAAAGCACATGTTTCTGATGTCGACAATATCTTTTGTGTGTGTGTTTTGGTAAAATGAAAGGTAGCTATGTATAGAAATGATACTTATAAGATTAATAAACAGATTCATATTGTTCCTGAAGAAATGCAGGAGTGAATAAACAACAAATGTTGTTGCATCATGCACAAGGGGCCAGACGACCGTTTGATTCTGAGGGGGCTGGACAATTTTTTCCATGTCGTATTATTTACTTTTATGTCGGTGAAGAACAAATTATTTCCAATAAGATAAGACAGAATATTTATTATCTTCTTCTTTGTTAAAAAAGGGACAATTAATTAAGCTTGAACAAAAAACGAAACAATTCATATGGTCCAAAACTCGAATTCGTTGGGAGAGAGGGGAAGGGAGTAGCTAGCGGGAGTGGTAATATTTAGGGGACGACCATTTGATTCTGAGGGGGGGGGGGGGGCCTGGCAGATTTTGGAAATAAATAATCTGTCCCGGAAAATACTGAAAATAAATAATCTTTCCTCCACTACAGAGAAAATAAATAATCTGACCTTGACTTATATGATATTAAAATATTGTGAAAAATACCTTTTTATTTACGTGTAATTTAATCTCAAAAGTCTTCAATTCAAAAAAAATTTTTGGCTCGCTTCGCTCGCCATTTTAGAACCAAATAGTATTTAAAATCAGATTACCAGACTGGATACTTAAGTTAGTTTGTCAACATGACAATGTGCACTTAGTAGGTGTGATGAATAACAGTACTTTAAATACAAGCCAGTTCTTATACACAAAAGATAAATTTTCTTGTGGAAGAATTACACTTCCCCGATAAATTAATACAAAATATACACTGGTGGATTTAAGTGAGACGTACATGTGTACCACCCCTCCCCTAAAATTCAAAGTATGATACGAATAATAATGCCATACTTTGGGACAATACCAATATTTTTGTGCCTAGTTTTACTCTTAAAATACACAAAAACCCAAGAGCTTCAGGGCCGGGGCTTTGCCCCCTAGGCCCTTCTCATTCAAAGTATGATAAGACTATAGCTAGTATTAATAATGTCATACTTTGGTACATATCTAACCAATTGCTACACAATTGTGTCTGGTTTTACTCTTTTACATACAGAAAAACCCAAGAGCTTCAGGGGGCTTCGCCCCCTGAATCCCCTTCAAAGTATGGTATGACCAGTATTAATTATGTCATACTTTAGTTCATAATAACCAATACCACTATAATAGTGCCTGGTTTTACTCTTAAAATACAACCCAAGAGCTTCGGGGGGGGGGGGGGGTGTTGTGTTACTCCCTTGGCCTCCACCAGGGCTTCGCCCAGGACCTGGGGGCCTTACGGCGGCCCCAGACCTTTTTCCTAAATGAATTTATACACGCCCCTCCCCAAATCCTGTATCTGCCTATGGTATATAAATGATTAGTCTTTTAGAATCAATTGATCACGGTAGGGGAAGACAAAGAAGAAAATAAATAATCTGTCCTTGATAATCTTGAAAATAAATAATCTGTCCTCGACAGGCATGAAAATAAATAATCTGTCTCAAAAAAATTTGCCAGGCCCCCCCTCAGGATCAAATGGTCGTCCCCTTAGCACTGGTCAGGGACAGATTATCTCCACACCCACCACCCCCATTCGTCCTCAGAATGCCTAATAATTAATATTTAAATTTTTATTTAAGAATATTTATTTATTCTTTATTTTTATACAGTATAACAAATCAAACCCGAATTATAAATCAGTTGTACGGAAGAAGGCAAATATTAAAATGTAAAAGCATTGACCCTTTCTCATGGTAAGCTTTATGACAGGCTTATAAAAACAGATTGCATAATCTGTTGTAATTGAGTCGCCTTCTCATGCTTTGATAGCAAAACACAGGTGATAAAACAGTTAGTGGAGTACAATAAATACTATCTGAGCTATACTGATTAATTAACAACTTTAAATTAGCTTTAATACCTTTGATCTCCTTAAATACCTTGAATTATCTGTTGAATGACTTAAAATTATGAGAGTAGCTGTTTGTTTAGGTAATTAAGAGAAACTCCATTATCATTTTCACACTACCTGTACATATAAACATATAAACTTTGTGTGTAGGTTAAGATTTAAGTCTCAGAGAAGCCACTGTCCATATACAGGTATGTATATGTTGAACCCCTATTGAACCCGTATATTTTTTGGCATACCGAGTAAGAAATTAATGAAAAGTGTATTAATTTGATAATTTTTCTCAAGCCAAAAAAATCATAACATTTTCAATAGCAGTAGATATAATTCATGCCAAGTTATTTTTTTTTTTAATTAAAAAAAAATTAATTAAGGGAGAAAATTTATCTTGATACATTTCAGATTTTAACTGTCAGAGATGTAAAATGTCATTTGGAATTTAAACTTAAAAATGCACATTCTGAGTGAAAGAAGAATTTTTTTTAATTTGTTTTTGTTTTTTTTATGCTGCCTTTCAAAAAATTTTCGTATACATTTAAATTATATCATTGAGGGAGTTAGCAAGATTCAAGTTCCCCAAGACAAGGACTATTTCCCAAGGTGCAGCTGATTAAGTTTTCATAATCTTGTTATCATTTATATTACACTTTAATCTTACAATCTCTAGAACTTAGTTCACAGAAACAGTGCTTTAATTTGATATTTTAAATCAAGATTTAAAAGTGGGTCTTGGTTTAAACTTTACTAAAATAGTAGTATTCTATTCACTGATGTGTTTTCTGATAAAATATAGGCTAAAATAATTTCATTATGGCTTTAGGGGCACAATATGATTGATTTTAATCTGTTCTAATTCATCAACATTCTTCAAATTTTTAAGAGATAGAGAGAAAAAAATAGGGGAGACTTTTCATCATATAAAATAAATTGAACTGCTCAAATTCTATTCATTCACTGGTAATGGTCATTTTTGGTCAAAATAATTTTTCCCCTGAAACATATTTACAAGGATTTCATAGACAATTTTGAGTAAGAGAATAATACATGTAGATATAGTTATAGATGTTTGATTTGTTTTTATTCCCTTTAAATTTGAATAAAAAGTAAAAATATATGAGAAATAAATTATTTATGTATGTGCTCATTTTCACCCTGGTTTACTTATTTCAAACTTGACTGAATTTGTCTTTATGAATATGATAGCCTTAAAATATTAATGTTTGCAAAGGATTGAGAAAAATTGCATTATGAAAACAAATCTTTAACTGATTATAACAACCCTTTATTTAAATGTCTTAACAAAAAATGTGCATTTCATTTCCCCCCAGCTGTTGATAAGGTTACCATAGAAACTTTTAAGAGATCTTACATCTGTTACAAAGCCAGAAGTAAAGAAATGTGTATGGTTTCCATGGCAGCTGGCATGTGATTGGTTATGACCCTGTTTTGTTGTATTGATCAGGAGTCTGCCTTTGACAGAGTTGGCACAAACAAGTGTCCAACTCCTATGGGCCTTTTCTCTTCCTGCACACCACAAATTACAGATCTCGGGGCTGACTGCTCAATATCTAGCCATCACACACACATATACCAATTTGTGAAATCATTATTCAGTAGAGCAGTAAAAATGTTGCCATGGCTTTTTTTTTTATTTTCAAAGCCGCAGATAAGACAGACAACTCTAATAAGTGCGATATAGTGACAGTTTTAATATCTTTCAAAAAAAATAAAAACAGAACAACAAAACAAATTTCATACACTAAAAATTAACATCTGTGAAAGTTATCAGATAAACTAACATAGTTTACAATATAAGACACAATTTCAGTGTACAGGAAGCAGATTTAGGTTGTTGAGGAAATAAAGAATCAGTTTCCAGGATGTGTTCACTCACAGCTAAATAACACTGTTAGAAGTGTATGTTTCTGTGTCAGGCAGTGGGGAGTTTGTGAAGTTGTTATCAATATGCAGTATATACAGTGTATATGTATGTGACACTATCAACAGAGGGAAACCTCCCAGTTATTTAGGTATCTCTCTCTCTCTCCTTGCTGATAAGTATGTCAACCATGCAGGTGTCAATTTAGAGAACAGAGGGGATAGTCACACTGTGGATTTAAATCTTTTCTGTATTATTAATGGATGAAACAATTTTTTTCTTCTAAAAATAGGTAAGCTGAATACAGGTGTGTTTAGATTTTTGGGGGGCATTTAAATTTTTTAGACCCACATTTTCCTAAAAAAAATTGTTTCTGTTCATTTTATTGGAAGTGATTGTCTTAATAAACTTCCCTTCAGATTTATGACAGGTGTGAAAATCTCAAACACTTCCCTGCTGTGTCTTCTAGACTGCCCAGGGGTATTATGTAATGAGAGAATAATTAGTTTGTAGGAATATATTATAAAGAAACTTGGTGCCCCAGGCTATGAAGTACATCTTTCATACAATAATCTGTGCAAAACCATGCAAAAACTTCTGGCTAAGGGGCTTCTAATTAGAATATTCTGAGGCATGTATGTTGCCAGGACAACTGTAATAGGTTGCTATGACAATGATGCCTGTTAAATATGAGGTCGCTGTGCATAAAAATAGTTTGTATCACTTGACTGGTTTGGGAGCATTCAGCCAATCAAATTGGTGATCTAAGTGATGAGCTATCCCAGCATACAGTTCTCTAGGTGATGAGTTGGTAACTTGGAGACAGCCATTTTTGTTGTAAAACTTTCCCAGAAAACTGTAAAAAGTTGTCAGAAGTTCTTTCTCCATCTGAAATGATTGAAAGTAATTAGAAAAGGATTTAAAAAAGATCAGGTAGGCAAATTCACTGGTATCTGAACCTATTAAGTTCCTTGCGACCGGGAAATGTGGGGCAGAGTGAAGTAAACATGTGACAGTATAACAATATGGAGGATGTGTGTTTAGTGGGGGAGTGATTTCTGAGTATTAAGATAATGTAGGCAACTGTTTATTTCTTTTTTTTATTGTTAATTGACTTATACTTTTGTTGGAATCATGAGAAAATCACATCTGGTTGTAAACCATGTGCGTATGTATTGATGTTTAGACATTTAAATGGCCATTTAAATCTAAATATACATACCAATAGCTGCCTGTGATCTGTATTAGTATTGAGATGATCAAGGACACTCTATCTGAAAGTTAGTGATTTAAAGATCAACAAGACATTTATTACACAGAGTAGCAATAGCTTCTTAATAACAGGAAAAGAACCATTACACAACCATTACATGAACATGGCTATTGACAACTAAATGTTGGAAAGTTTAAGACACATTACAGGGAATAAAAATTACTGACAGAAGAAAATAACAGAAAGTATAAAATGATAAAGAATGTTCAAACCAATTAAGAATGTTTGTGAATTAATGGTTGTATAATGATCTTACACTTCCTACATCCTGCTGTGAATGCCTAGGTTCACTGTGAAAGTCAATAATGGCTGCCAGTCCTAGCTTCCACAGCAGGAATCAAAATGCTAATGTGTCAAATTTTGTGAACAGTTACAACCAAAGTACAATCAAATAAAAATTCTCAGTGTTTGTTTCATTAAAATGTGACATGAAAACAGTTTTAAACAAAAGCATGCGACAGTATAAAAGCAATTTGGTTTAACATGTTGAAATCACTTACCTGTTGGTTAGGTGAATGTCTTCAGGTGAAAATACAGGTATTCTCATCAGCAGCAGCATCAGTCACATTCAGCCAATCAAAAGTGAGGTTACAAACTGTTTACATCCTGCCAAGGCAACCACCCATGTGATTCACAGATGCTGTCATATCAAAAGCTTCCATTGTCTTTAATGGATTTTTTTTCAAGGTGAATTAAAGTGCTTGCCATGCTTTTCAATGGATCAATTTTATGTCAGAATGACTGCGGAACTTGGGTATTCACCAATTAAAGTAAGAGCATGGTCATTGAAGTCAATTATAATTTCAAAAATTGTAATTCCAATGACGACTTCTGTAGGGAGTTTCCATGGTAACTTCTAAACAAGTGCACTGTCATTTGAATAAAATTACTGCACGGTGGCGGCAGATGAGGTTATCATAAATAAATGATTATCTTGTCAAAAAATAAGATCTCAGGAAGTTATTGAAATTTTCATTGGAAGTAATCTGCAATTTTGAAAAATGACATTTTCCTCTTTTTTTTAATGCACAACTTTTACTGCAGAAGAAAAAAAAAAGAAGAAAGAAAAGAAATATACAGAAAGAAAAAATTAATGTCAAATTTATTATAACAGTAAAATAATTAAATAAGTCTTATTTACAACTGAAAGAAAATCCATAACAATCATGAAGTCTAAAATGATAAATTATTTTCTTTAAGTTACATCATGAGGCTTGCACATTAAAATTGGCTTGTATTATCTTTCAACTAATTTTTCCCAAGAACTTCTAAGCCTTCTGTCACACAAAGATCACCATGGTAATGCCAATTGTTTATCCTCCATGTTTTTTTTTCAGGGCATTAGGTTGCAGGTCTTCTCGTAGAGATGATTCACCCAAGTATCTTTCAAACTCATAATAGCTACACTCTTTGTATTTCAGCAAACAACTGATGCAATAGTAAAGACAGAATCATGGTTCCTGGAAGCAGACTTGATGAGAGCGATGCTTCCATGCGAGAGAGGCTAGTGACGAGTTTGAGTCAAAGTTTTCCTGGTAGTGCCCTGTCCAAGGCCCTGCAGTGCATGCAGCCGGAATCCGACAGCGAAGATGATGACATGAAAGGGGACTTCCTCAGCAGTAGCTGTTTTGCCGAGCTCCGTTTGGAAAAAGGACCCATAGACAGTGACGATGACCTCAAACCCTTGTCTTGGCTTCAGGACAGCAATTTGCTGAAGAACATCTCCTGCGCTGATGAGGACAGTGATGATGACCAGAAGGAAAATGGTGACCTGCTGAGTGGGAACCACATCAACCAGTCCCATCCCCCTCATGTCCCCTACAACCCCCAGAAGCACATCAACAGCAAACCTCCATACTCCTTCTCCTGCCTCATCTTCATGGCCATCGAAGACTCGCCACAGAAAAAACTGCCAGTAAAAGACATCTACTCCTGGATCCTGAACCATTTTCCCTATTTCCAGCATGCTCCCACAGGCTGGAAGAACTCAGTGCGACATAATTTGTCCCTCAACAAGTGCTTCAAGAAGGTGGACAAGGACAGAGGACAGGTAGGATGCTTTTATTTCTTTTTACTTACTTTTCAGATAGAATTACAAGGATGGATCAGGATATGAATTATAATTATGTATATACATGTATATATATATATATATATATATATATATATATATATATATATATATATATATATATGTATATAGTATATAATACTATGAAAGAAAACACCCTTCCCAAAATAAATTCAGGAGACCATCCTTGAAATTGGCCTTTGATTAATATTGCAACAAATTTTTACAAATACATTGATATGGCTATATCAATTTTAAAAATTTGAAATTCCATGAAAAGAAGTCTCAAAATCCTAATGGTTTTAGTTAAAAAAATTGGAATGATTTTAAAAATAATATACAATACTGTTAAATTGTTAATATGCTTGAAACTTGACATTTCATTGGATGATCATTCAAATTTCTAAATATGAAGAGTTGTCTCCCTTTTAGTCTGCAGATTTTTATTTCTTATTGGTAGTGTTTGTGTAAAATAGCGCCGCATACAGTGTTTTCCCTAAGAACCGGCTACCGGCCAAACTGACCACTTCAATTGACAAAAATGCTGCATTTGAATAACAATTTGTTGTAAGGTCCACAAAGATTTTGTTTATAAACCTCAGCCCCTAGCCTGTTACAATTTATCTCTAACCCTTTACTTTAAAATAAAGGGAAAACACTGCGCATAGTCAGGAACATTATAAGACATGGCTTAAAAGTAAGCACCGGAAGAGGAAATGATCAGTTCTACAATAACATGCTGTAGCTTTGTTGATATCTTCCCTTTGTCATTAGTGGTCATTATCTTATCAATATAACAGCCTGTTTTTTTTGATAAAGAAATAAAAGATTTTGAAAATCTGAACCTTTGCTTGCAAGATGTAGGACATTGATTATAACTACAGTTAATTATAATGCAATTATCGGAAAATTTTGGTGCAGATTTGGCATGCTTTATATGAATTATTTCTTTTTATTTGGTTTAATCAGTGTTCAGAATGCCACAACTTCTGCCTTCATGCCCACATTCATTTCAACCAATAATCAAATTCCTAACAAGGTCAAAAAAAAAAAAAAAGGAAAAAGAGAAGATAAATAAAGATTTCATTAAGAGTAAGGACAGGTATCTTCAGAGCCTCAGGTTGACCGGGGCATTAAGACTGGTACATTCCACCACTAATAAACAACAGGTATAAAGTCCTGTGAAGTCTAGAAGAGTCCCATGTTTTGTTGGTATTTAGCACTTGATAAGTATCTGGAGTAGTGGGAATGCTGTAATCTAGATAGTATATATGTAGAACTGAGGGAGGGGTAACGGAGATAACGGGGTACTGTGAGATGAGGGTAAACTGGATGTTGTATTCTGGGCCCACTCCAAAGGTCACCCTCCACTCTAACCACACAGGTGATTATCAGGCCCCACCGATCTGATGACAGGGCCAGAGATTAAACAAGTTCTAACACTCTCTGGAAGAACAAAGCAAATTTGAGACATGTTGTAACAATTAGAGATAAGAAATTTATAGAATTGCATGTTGTATTAAAAAAGATAGCCTAAAAAAGAAAAGACACCAAGAAAAAAAAGCAAAAAAAAAAACTACCTGTAATTATAAATTTTAAAAAGGAATAAAATTAAAAAAAATAATTTTTAAACACATGAAAGAAACCTAATAACTATCATAAAATAATGCTAATTATAATTAATTCATCATTTTATCAATAAAATTGTATAATTGCAAGATATCTAGCTGATTGCTACTATTGGTATTTTAACAAGTTATTATTGTTGCCTATTGTAACCAAATGCCATCTGCTAGGTTTTATGGAGAACATGTGACACTGTTCTCATGTTACAGTTTCCAGGCGTTATAACAGAAGCACACACTGGATGTACTTCTGTATTTAATTAAACATGATGCCTGGTTTCTAAAGCCAGTGGAAAAACACATAAAAAATACACAAAAAAGATCATATCCAATCATTGTAATTAAAGTTCCTGAAAATTAGCTTGGAAAATATAAAATGATGTCTACCTCATTTCCTCGTTTAGGAGCATGTATAGCTCATTTTGTCAAAGGTCATTGTATCGCTTGGCAGATGTGTGTGGAATCTAACATCCTTATTTTCCAATAGTTACAAGATCATTATGTTCTTAACGTATCATCGTAAGAAAAGAGGATGACTTTTTCAGTTCGAATTAATGCCATTGTAAGGGAATGGTCTTCTCGGCTCATGCATCAAATATAATGAGATGATTACTATAAGAATGATCGATGTATTTACCGAGGACACCTTTTGTAATTACAGTCCATTGGTAAGGGCTCCCTGTGGTGCATTGACCCGGACTATCGACCCAACCTGCTGCAGGCCCTCAGGAAGACGCCCTACCACCCCTACCACCAGCTTCAGATGCTGGCCAACCCCCAGCCCCAGCCCCAGTATACCTACATGTACAAGTAAGTATGTCTGTATAAACACCTACATATATAGGGCCCAACTCCCCCTCCTCTGACTGAAATGTATTGATTATTATGGCCTACCAGGAAACAAATCACACTGATTACTCATAATGCTTTAATATAAAAGCAAGTCTTCTCAAATACTTTAAAAGAGCATTATAAAACCTCTGCTCTTCACTTCAGATTTTTAAGCATTTAAAATACACTGTGTAGTGTAAAACAAGGAGAGTAGACTCTCTTGATCCACAGAGACTGTTAGATTGAATTTCTATGATTTACAAAAGAATATTTCTAAGTAAAACAGCTTGGTTTGTAAGATTTGTCAAATTTATTTGTGTCCACATACCTAGGTATATGAATTATCTGAAGCATTAACTGACATTTGGTCACTTGAGTGTAAGGAATATATATTGAAATTTAGCAGTCTCACCGTATAAATTGTGTATTGTCACCAAAATTATCTATTTGAATATAGCTGTAGCTGATTTGTATCATGGTTTTTAAAATTCACTAGTACATGTATTGATGAACTAATTTGTCCAGTTTTAATACATAATATATTCCACTTAACTTGGTACATTGAGAAAACATTATCCATTTTATGAGCCTTGATGAATGCCTCTTTAACCTTCCTAATTACATTTAAGATCTTCAATAGTAGATGTTGTGTCTTTCAATCAATATAGACTTCTTCGTCAGGAAGAATCTTCTATCTAATCAAGATTTCAATCTAGCACTAAGAGAGATTTTTTGCACTTAAAAGAAGTTAAGACTAAAATTTTCAACTCAAGTGTACCAAGTTTCAATTCCTAGGTTCAACCAATGTAATTATTTTTGCAGCATGTCAGGTTTTGGTAAGGTGTTAATAATACAAAGCGTGAGATTGTTTGACCTGTGGCTTCTTTAACTCACCTGAACAGGTGAATTGCCCTATCTTCAGTGGCTTAACCTATCACCTGCTGTTCTATTATTTGTATCTCCACTCTCAAATGTTTTAAACCCATTCATTTATATTGTTCTAACTATCATTACCTTGTGAGATGAAATTTTTTTTTTAATAATATTTTTGTACATTTTTCTTTGGCCATCGAACACACAGATTTCGGTCAAAAATCAAGGATTCACAGTAAAAACGTGCATAAAAGTATATTATTGCCATGGATACTGGAAGCTTAAACACAGCTAAGCATAGATTGAGAATAAGAGGTTCTATGTTGATTTGAATGCAATATCACAAGAGATAATAGTATCATCTGTTTTATAACCGACCCTTTTTAAAAATCGTTATTTCAGTGGCAAGCAGATAACGGGGATCACAGGACCTCTACCCCTCTCTCCCAGACTCGGGCCAAACACTGTGTCTCCACGTAAGTTTATCATGCTATTTATAGGCCATATAGATAAAAGATAAGCAACAGACTATAACAATTAAAATAGGGCACACTGAATATCCTCTGGATGAATATCCAGTGAAGCATGTAATTCATTCTCCATTTATGTGGTTTTTATCAAAGAAAGTGAAAAAATGCCAGAGTTGTATAATTTATCATGTATTTCATTCAAGTAAAAAAAAAATTGATTGTATATTCTTTTTAATTTTTTCAGATTTATTTCCTTTTCTAAGTAAAAGATTAGCCCAGTCCAATAACAATGATATAGGTGAGTAATGGCGACAGTAGAACTGAAGGTCCCCTATGTACACAGTCCCACATGGTGAAGTAGCATTAAGCTGACAAGACAGACAGCAGGGGTGTAACATTACTCCTGTTTATCAATCAATTTCTATAGCCATCCCACTTGTCTGTGTTAGCCAAGCAAGATATCTGTGGAAACATTGCCATGACAACCCACAAACATTAATTACACAGATGTTACTGTCACAAGGATTTGTTTTAGATCAGCATCTCTGGAGTGTTTTCTTTGTCTCTAATTTGAGATGTACAATAAAGCATTTCTGTGGAAAAAAAGGAGCTGACTGCTGTTGCAGCTCAGGTTACAAGATTGAAAGCAGATAGAAATATCCATTATCATATACTGAATTTGGCTCCATTATTAAATCTGTAAAGGATGAAACAGGATAAACCTAACACTTTTCTTTATTGAATAAAATAGGAAAAGCTGTACCTTTATTAAAAACTTGTAAATTTTTCCAATGATAGTCATTTGTATCCACTGATTTGTTACTTCATTTATATAAAAAATTCAGTGTGCATTGAAAGCAATAATTTTTGTTGTTGCAACCAATACCTGGTTCATAACTAGTGATTTCTATTTGAGATGGATACTTCTCCTTTAATTGTATGTAACCATTATTAAAAAAAATCAACTTTACAGATCAGAATGAAAATATTAACAATTCTGTTTAATTAAATTTGACAGATTTATTCCCATGGATTTTTTATAACGACAATAAATTGTATTACAATATCGCTGAACAGTATTAATTTATGACTGTACAAATATGTGTTATCCAGGAGCAATCTATTATGTTAAATTGACAGTGTATTCTGGAATGGCTTAGCAAGCATGCTAATGAGAGATTGATGCATATTTAATAAAATATTAAGGGTCTGAAATTTCAAACTTCTTTATTTGGTAACTAATAATGAATAATGTATAACATTTTATTTTTTTCAGATTCTGACATCAAAGATGTAGCTCAAACCTTGGTGTCCCTGAAAGGACTTGGCACAAAGGGTAAATATCTTTAAAATTATAATTTTTATGAGGACTTTGAACAAGGGGGTTGATTTATTAGAAATTCTCTACAAAGTACAGAGATATTGTAGATTAGAGCAATATAACCGATCACCAAATATTCAACAGCCTTTTAATAGATTAGTTTTTGCCAGGAGCAATTGACATAATTTTCTTGATTTGTTACTCGTTATAATTTAATCTTCCACGGTGCGGTATGTCCCCCTTCGTGGATCAATAGGGGGCCTAGATTCTGAGCTATTGATCTGACACTTCTGTTTAACTGTCCAGAATCCTGAAATTGAATTTTTTTTGTTCATCCTTCTTTAGATATTGCCTTTATTGATCTTGTGGATTAGCAAATGTACAAAATGGGAGATATATTGAGCAACCACTGGCTGCTTTATTGAAAAATACAGAAAAAAAAGCGGAGGATAAAATTGAAGTAGACAGTAAAAATAAGGGAATGGAAAATTATTTCAACAAATTGCCTTTTTTTGCGAATATTGATGAGAATTCCCCTTGATTACTTCAGCATGTATTCAGAAGTGTAGTGTCATTATTTAGTCCCTAATTTACAATGTTGTCAGGGAGGAACATTAGAATTAAGTGAGGACCTCTGGGAGACAGTTTATTGACCTATTGACAATGGAGCAGCTGAGTGATACAGAGTATTTTGAATAATTTTTTTTATGTATTCTTTATTTTTTCTTCTTTCAGATAATGATAATTCAGTGCTTCAGAGAATACGCATGAAAAGAAAACAGAGGTAGCTAACGTTTTTATTTCTTTTTAAAATCCACTTGATTCAGTGACATTAAAAGTTTTGTTTATTTTTTCCTTCCCTTGTGTCACATGCAACAATTCTGTGCACAAATAATTTACTTAATTTGCTTGTTAAAAACTTGAATTAGTATTGTCTATTACAAACAAATTTAGTGTAGAACTAAAATTTATACTTTAAAATTGTAGACAACTAGGCCCAGGAATGCTAAAGCGCCGACATTTAGAGGACGTAGTATTCACCATCAGCCCCAGTGAGGATCACACGTATAGTGCCACCTGTCACAAGGACCCAGGGTCTCCAGACTCCTCTGTGGATGAGGGATTCGAATACGGAGACGAGGATGAATACGACATGGAAGAAGAATTCTCAGACGATGACATGAGTTACGACGAGTGGGATAGTGAAATGGACGAGGTCGACGGTGACGTGCGACAGAATCACAGCCACAGCAAACAGCGTAGAATGACTGTTAAACTGCCAGGCAAGAAAACTGTTTCCAAGGAGGACGAAGAGGAGCAGAAGAAGATTGAAGAAGGAGCAGACGCCCTGTTAAATTTGGCGGGAATTCGCACCACCCGCTCCTCCAGCAGTGTTAATGACTCAGGTGCCTCCTCTGGAGGATCTACACCCAGGAAAAGACGGTCTCCCCCTGCCAAACGTGGACATGTGAAGTGATGTCAAGACAGCTAGTAGACTTCTTGCCATTTTGAGATTTGCATTGAGGACCAGGGACACTTTTTGTTACACAATTCCAGAAGTCTTCCATATGTGTGACTGTACTTTCAATTGTATTTTTTCAGTAATCGCATCGCCCACTTGTTAGGTTTTTCATTTGTTCATTGTCTTTGTTGAGAGTGGTGCTTTTATTACAATCTTCAATTTACTATGTAATTCACACATTTATTGTTAGCATTTTTTCCATTGCATATTGAAACAAACTTTAATAATTTTTTTCAAATTTTTCTTTGGTAGATTTTTGTTTACTAGTGTTCAGATTGTTATTGTAAAATGGTGGGGAAAAAACAAAAATGTGCAATTTCAGCAGTTCAGGTTTAATATGAATTTTATTTTCTGTTTTGTGCCATTGATTTGTGTAATATTCATATTAACCAAAGATTCCAGCTGCTCACCAAGTTTTTACAGAAAGGTGCAATCAAATTTCCACATGGTGTTCTATTAATTAGTTTTTATTAAAACATCTCATCATCACTGATGTTAAATTCATTTTACTCAGAGAATGAGTCTTTAAAAGAAAAATTATTAAAACTTCATGGCAATTTCACAAAAAACATGACAAATGAAGGTTTCCTTAGAAATAGGGCTCAAGAGGTACCTGTAATGATATTAGCATTGTAACTCTTATATTTCATGTTACTTTATTATTGTGAAGACATATCTGGCAATCAAAGTATAAGAAAAGTGAAAGTAGGGGCAGGGAACTGTCAACTGGTACCCCAGAACATTTCTCGTGGTCTGGCTATTGGCGTGTACAGTTGTTAACTTGTTATACATGTATATATTTTTGTTCTGTAATACTCCATTGTTAGTGCTTACAATTGTTAGAGGTCAGACATTTGTTCATGTTTCACTTTATTGTTTAGGCCTTTCTATAACTTCTTTTTTAGGCCTTCCTATAACTTCTTTTTTTTTAATGGGAATTTTATCAATATATGTATATTAAGTTGTGATAAGGTATCAGTGATCAGGGCACATGAGAAAAAAAAAATAATTCAGGTATTGTCCGTATTGTAAAATAAGAAATCTGTACATTTCAATGTGGAACATAATTTTTTAGAATAAGATATTCCACACAATAGTTTTTTCTAAGGAAAAGTAAAAAAAAAAAAAAATAGCTAAGTTGAGAATCTCATTTTCAACAATTCACTTGCTTTATTGCACATGGAATTCACAATAACCTCAATGACTGAGAAATGTACAAAAAAATAGTAGCATTATGAGTGATTTTTTCGATGTTCGAAATTTTGGGTTGGGATTGAGGTATGGAGAGGGAGGGGTAGTTTAATAGAGATCTATTTCTACATTTACAACATTATATGTCTATTTAGAAAACAATGTTACTGATCATGGTTTAATCATTATGTGATAAGTTTTGTTGTATTATTCACTATTTTGGCACTTAGTATATTAACATACCTGACAAGGTTGATCATTTTAATTGTTATTAGCATTTTCACATGTCTTCTTATACACATTCATAAATTATCATGCGCATTAACAACACTTTCATAAATTATCATGCGCATTATCAACTGTTGAGAGGATTTTTTTTTTGTATTCTGTTATGCTCAAATCTTCCACTGTTCATGTATAAACACAGGCAGATGTTTGTCTGGAATGTTCACAAGGTTTACTAGTCACCAGTTTTATTTTTTTGTTTTATTTTTAATGCAGAAAAACATTTTAGAGAAATGGCAAATTATTCATTTTAATGCATTTTTGGATTTTTTACACCTAAAAAAATTGAAGAAAAAAATCATGACACAAAAAGTACATTTAAATTGTCATAAAATATCTCTCAACAATATTGATACCTCTAAGTTTCAGTAGTACAGTATAACTGTTTGTTTTTGTTATTATTATCAGATAAGTAGAAGTGGTGAGGTCTCGAGGGAGACAACTGCTGTCATGGCCATTGATTTCCTTGTGTTCATTAGTCGGGTGCTGGAGTATAAAGACAATATTATAGTCAAGCCAAAGTTTTCACTGTAGCTAACAACAGAAACTGCTGCCTATGCAAACCAGCACTGGAGAACAATTAGTGCAATAGACATTATTACGTTTACTCAGAGAATTATGTAGCCATTTTCATGTTAACCCAACATAGATCATTCGTTCAATCATGCTGCATAAATCTGAATTAATTTTGAGAAAAAAAGTTATAAAAGTATTATTTGTTAAAATTAATTTTCATAATAAACAAAAAATGTTTATAACTCATTGTAATTAGCTTTTTACCCTTGCACAAATATCTGGTGATGCAGCAAATTAAATGACTGAGCTACAGTAAGAAATGTTTAGATTATAGTATATTTCAAGAATAATTGTATGTGTTCAACAAAATTCAGATTTGCAACTTTTTTTGTGAAATGCTTTTTTGTTTATATGATGTAATATTTTACTCAATAATCAAATGTAAAAGGTATGGGCAAGATCACTGTTATTCCTCCGTGCAATGATAAACTTAGCAGAAGCCTGATACGTGTTCATAGACTTGGTCATTGTATGTGCAATGAAAATCAGGTTCTGTTTGCTGGACAATGCAGTTTTGTTTATTATTGTACACTGTACAGTTTCTTAATAAAGAGAAAAACCTTAAAATCTCAAATAAATTTTGTTTTGTTTCAATGCTTGAATATATTATTAAAAAAAATCAAAGTTCCACATGATAACAAGAGGCCCATGGGCCACATCGCTCACCTGAGCACTGTGGCTAGGAAAAAGTAGAAATTGATCTATTATTTAAGTCCAAAAGTAGTCCCATGACCAATCATGGCTTTGCTATTCTTGAGAAAATGATTTTTAAAGAATTTTCCTATATATGTCTATGTAAAACTTTGATTGACCTTTGTGGCTCCGCCCTACCCCAGGGGTCATGATTTGAACAAACTTGAATCTACACTACCTGAGGATGCTTCCATATAAATATGATCAATTATGGCTTTGCTATTCTTGAGAAGAAGAGTTCTAAAGAATTTTCCTATATATTTCTATGTAAAACTTTGGTTGGCCATTGTGGCCCCGCCCTACCCCTGGGGGTCATGATTTGAACACACAGTAATCTGCACAACCTGAGGATGCTTCCAAATAAATATGATTAATTATGGAGTTGCATTTCTTGAGAAAAATATTTTTAAAAAAAATTCCAATATATTTCTATGAAAAAATTTGATCCGCCATTTTGGCCCCTACAATATCCCCGAGGGTCATGATTTAAACAAATTTGAATCTACACAATCTGAGGATGCTTCCATATAAATATGATCAATTATTGCTTTGCATTTCTTGAGAAAAATACTTTTAAAAAAATCCTATGTAAAAATTTGATCGGCCATTTTGGCCCCCGCCATACCCTCGGGGGTCATAATTTGAACAAACTTGAATCTACACTACCTGAGGATGCTTCCATATAAATATGATCAATTATGGTTTTGTTATTTTTGAGAAGATTTTTAAAGAATTTTCCTATATATTTTTATGTAAAACTTTGGTCGGCCATTGTGGCCCCGCCCTACCCCCAGGGGGTCATGATTTGACCAAACTTGTATCTACACTACCTGAGGATGCTTCCATATAAATATGATCAATTATGGCTTTGCTATTCTTGAGAAGAAGATTTTTAAAGAATTTTCCTATATATTTATGCCCCCCTTCGAAGAAGGGAGGGCATATTGCTTTGCTGCTGTCTGTCAATCTGTCGGTTGGTCGGTCTGTTGGTCCATTTAGTTTCCGTTCATTTTCTTCACAACCGTTGCACATACTGAAATGAAATTTGGTATACAGGTATATCAGATGAATATCTAGGTAAAGTTCTGTTTTGGGTACGATCGCACCATTTTTGACAGAGTTATGCCCCTTGGACTTAGAAAAATTCCAACTATTTGCAGTTTCTGTTCATTTTCTTTAGAGAGGTTGCACACATTGAGATGGAATTTAGTATACAGATTAGTCAGATGAATATCTAGGTCAAGTTCTGTTTTGGGTATGATTGCACCATAATTTACAGAGTTATGCCCCTGGGACTAAGAAAAATTCTAATTATTTGCAGTTTCCATTCATTTTCTTTGGAGAGGTTGCACACATTGAAATGGAATTTAGTATACAGATTAGTCAGATAAATATCTAGGTCAAGTTCTGTTTTAGATACGATAGCACCATAATTGACAGAGTTATGCCCCTCAGACTTAGAAAAATTACAATTATTTGAAGTTTCCGTTCATTTTCTTCGGAGAGGTTGCACATATTGAAATGGAATTAAGAATACAGATTAGTCAGATGAATATCTAGGTCAAGTTCTGTTTTGGGCATGATCGCACCATTTTTGACAGAGTTATGCCCTTTTGGACTTAGAAAAATTCCAATTTGTGGGGGAGGGGGGCATAAGTGTTTTACAAACATCTCCTGTTTTGTGTAAAATTTTGGTCGGCCATTGTGGCCCCGCCCTACCCTTGGGGGTCATGATTTGAACAAACTTGAATCTTCACTACCTGAGGATGCTTCTATATAAATATATGATCAATTATGGCTTTGCTATTCTTGAGATGATTTTTAAAGAATTTTCCTATATATGTCTATGTAAAATTTTGATTGACCTTTGTGGCGCCTCCCTATCCCCGGGGGTCATGATTTGAACACATAATAATCTACACAACCTGAGGATGCTTCCAAATAAATATGATCAATTATGGAGTTGCATTTCTTGAGAAAAATATTTTTAAAAAAATTCCAATACATTTCTATGAAAAATATGATCGGCCATTTTGGCCCCTACAATATCCACGAGGGTCATGATTTAAACAAATTTGAATCTACACAATCTGAGGATGCTTCCATATAAATATGATCAATTATTGCTTTGCATTTCTTGAGAAAAATACTTAAAAAAAAAAATCCTATATATTCCTATGTAAAAATTTGATCGGCCATTTTGGCCCCCGCCATACCCCCGGGGGTCATGATTTGAACAAACTTAAATCTACACTAACCTGAGGATGCTTCCATATAAATATGATCAATTATTGCTTTGTTATTTTTGAGAAGATTTAAAGAATTTTCCTACATATTTTTATGTAAAACTTTGGTTGGCCATTGTGGCCCCGCCCTACCCCTGGGGGTCATGATTTGAACAAATTTTAATCTACACTACCAGAAGATCTTTCCCCATAAGTTTCATCTTGGTTCTTGAGAAGAAGATTTTTAAAACATACCACCAAATTTTCATTAATTCCCAATTATCTCCCCTTGAATGAGGGCGTGGCCCTTCATTTGAACAAACTTGAATCCCCCTCACCCAAGGATGCTTAGTAGCAAGTTTGGTGAAATTGGCCCAGTGGTTCTTGAGAAGAAGTCGAAAATGTGAAAAGTTTACGACAATGACAATAACGACAGACAACGGACAAATTTTGATCAGAAAAGCTCACTTGGCTCAGGTGAGCTAAAAAGGATTAATGGCATTTAATGCAGATACTCTCACAGTAGGAATTTATTCCAAACTTGAAGGGACCAAGAACTATGAGATATCCAAGGATTCGAGACAACAAGGTTAAATGATATTAAAAAAAGATGGGACTTCCAGTTGACTTCATCACATCGATAGTGTTCAATAATATGTGTTCCAGATTATGAAGTTCCACGTCATAAACGCTCAAAGAAAACCAAATTCAGTCAACTTTTAAAAGGTATCATTAGTGAATACACTACTGACATAAAAAAAAAAATTTTCCAAACATAGCAATAACTTAATTTGGCACATTTAAGAATTAGAAAAGTAAGAAATTCCTGGATACATTCTTTGTATTTATATGAATGATATGCAATGAAAATGGACAAATCTGAGAAAAAGCAATTTTAAAAATTTCCTATATTTTATTTCAAAGAAATGAAGGTAAGGACAAACTATTTTCATTATAAAATGCCTCTCATTTACATACTGTATGTAAAAGCAGCTTTAACATTTATAAAATGTACACTGTAACCTTGTTATTCTTAATTTAAACAAACAAAAAGTCAACTCTCCTTCAGATTGATATAACTTCAGGAGCATGCCTCTAGCAGCTTGTCAGGAGAGGAGAGTTGTGATACTGGGACGAGGACAAATGAGGTTTCTGAATTGGTTCCATGATGATCAAGATCTAGGAGAAAAAAGAGAAAAATATCAGTTAACGAGATCTACACTAAACTTGTCCATAACAAAATATGATTATCAACTTATAAACAGTGCGACTTTTGTTCTAATGTGAAAAAAAATGTATGTATTAGCCAAATAATAGTCAAACTACAACAACAGTATGATTAGCTGCAGGACTGTATCTTTCCAAAAAAATATATATTGACAGACCGTTGCCACCCATTGAAAAAACTGTATATTTATTGTGCACCAAAAAGTGCGCTAGCTGTTTCTCGATTTATTTCTCCATGTTTTTAAAACTGTCATCTCAAAATATTACCAACTGTGTATTCAGTACATATTTTTTTCACTGTTTCCACAAAACATTCCTTATAATTGTTTCTAATAGCCCTCCTGGCCCTGAAATTGAGATTATCGAAAATTTTGCCTATTTATACTGCCATTTTGGTTCGCAAGATAATTTGGTCCAACGCGCTTCGTACAAATGTAAAACACAAGAAAAATTGATAGAGGAGTAAGGACTTTTTTGATATCTAGCTTTTTGCAGTTGAGGTAAGAATTTGGAAGAGTTAATTCAGAACCGAGCATACTTTTTTGTGCGCAATAAATATACATGTATACAGTTTTTCCAATGGGTGGCACTGTAGCTCTCCGGTCTGTCAATATATATTCTTTCGGAGAACTACAGTTCTGCAGCTACACAAGATTACACATCACAAAGTGTCAGGGTATAGGGAATTACCTTGTCTGGTAGTCTGTCTGTTCAACAGTGTCTAGACCATAACATTGCTTATGATCTAAGTTCAAGGTCACTGTCAGAAAAATAGCACATAATACCTTCTGATATATATTTTTTTAAGTTAAAAACATTGGATGTAGCAGGTTTAAAAAAATACAGTTGAGAGCTTTTTCACAGCTCCTCAAATCTTTGAAGGCCTTCATTGATTTAGTGTCTTTCTGATGTTAAAGCAAGAGAGTTCATGAAGTTTCATCTCCTTGGAATGGATACTTCCTGAAGTTTTACATACGGTATATGTCAATGCAATATATTAACACAGGATGACCACAAGCTACCAAAAGGAGGAAGAACTTGGGATTCTGGCCCCAGGATCATGAAACAGACTTTATAGACTTAAGTCAAACTTTCAATCGCCTGTAAAATATTTATTAGCTCACCTGAGCCGAAGGCGTCGTTGTTGTTGTTGTAAACTTTTCACATTTTCAACTTCTTCTCAAGAACCACTGGGCCAATTTTACCCAAACTTGCCACAAAGTATTCTTGGGTAAAGGGGATTCAAGTTTATTCAAATGAAGGGCCATGCCCTCTTCCAAGGGGAGATAATTATGAATTAGTGAAAAAGTAATGGCATGTTTGAAAATTCTTCTTCTCAAGAACCACTGGGCCAGGAAAGATAAAACTCATGTGGAAGCATCCTCAGGTAGTGCAGATTCAAGTTTATTCAAATCATGACCCCCAAGGGTATGTTTGGGCCATGATAGGGGGTCAAAGTTTACATAGGGAAAATCTTTAAAAATCTTCCTCTCCAGAACCACTTGGCCAGAAAAGATGAAACTTATGTGGAAGCATCCTCAGGTAGTGTAGATTCAAGTCTGTACAAATCCTGACCCCCAGGGGAATGATGGGGCCATGATGGGGGGGGGTCAAAGTTTAACATAGGAATAAATAGGGAAAATATTTTAAAAATCTTCTTCTCAAGAATCACTTGGCCAGGAAAGATGAAACTTATGTGGAAGCATCCTCAGGTAGTGTAGAATCAAGTTTGTTCAAATCTTGACCCCAGGGTAGGGTGGGGCCATGATGGGGGGGGGGGGGGTCAGGGTTCAAAGTTTAACATAGGAATACATAGGGATAATCTATAATCTTCTTCTCAAGAACAGCAAAGCCATGATTGGTCATAGTTATATGGAAGCATCCTCATGTGGTGTAGATTCAAGTTTGAATCCCACTTGAACCCAGTTTGATATTTAAATTTTTCAATACTGAACAGATTTTTGCTTTTAGTTTTATATAGAAACTTTGAAAAACCTTTAATTTTGGTCTGCTTGCTTTTTAAAACATTTTAGTAGAACATAAAGATTTGACTTAAACTTAAGATGCTTCATGATCTCTGGGCCTGGACTTTGGTGCTACTAGAACATAATGTGCATGTCTGTGATGAAGCAGTTGAAGATGACAGAAGACAGGCATCACAGTACACTGACCTCACTATACAACTATGTAATGAGAATCAGTGGTAAATATTTAATGAGAACTTAAGCCTAAAAGGGGATAAGGGTAAACCTAATCATTCGACTTACATGTCAGAGCTGTGACTTTAGTTGTACAGTTCCTGATATTAACACGGATGTCTCTCAGAATCAATAATTACTGTTAGGAGACATAGAATGGTATTGTAAATAGATTTTTTTTAACTCTTTGAGGCTCAGCTGTGATAAGCAGACCCATAATTCAAGATCAGAACAACATAATTAAAAAAAAAATAATCTGTGTGTAATCTGAGCTCTTTTACTTCTGTATTACACATCACGAACTTGTCCTTATAATGCAAGTGATGACCACAAATGAGGCCCATGGGCCACTATGCTCGTCGGTTACCTTCCTTTTTAAAAAAATATAGTAAAATGTCATATGTTAAGGCAAGTCCACCCTTTTACGGATCCGGTTTTAATTTTACACACCGATATAAAATTTTGATTATCCTTGTCTATTGAAATAAAATCTTTTTAGATGATTAAAAATGATTTAGCAAGTATATATTTGTTTATTATAGTGTCATTGTGCACACAAAGCATTTAATGTATATTATTTATAGGAATAACCACTTTGCACTCTGTCCATAGGATCTATATGTAATTTAGTACATACACAGACAGAGAATTCTTAATTGCTGTTATGGACCTAAAGCTTTTAATTTTTCTTTTAAACAAACTAACTTGAGATCTATTTATCTTTAATTTTTAGCCTATATCATCTTTTTAAAATTACTTTTTTATAAGTTTTGCGAAGAACGATTGAAAAATAGATATTCCAAAAATGGGGGTATAGGTGTTCAAAAGGCTCTTTTGTAAAAATTCTGGTAATAATAAAGTATGTTTTTCTTCTAAGATATAATTCTAAATAATTTTGAAGAAAAAATAGCATATAAACATAAAAGATTTTGAGAAATATTTAAAATTAAGATATTTTAAGCTTTTTTCTATGAAAGATTTTGACACCATCAACATTAATTTTTTGTGTTTTCAAATAGAAGTTTCAAATATTTTCTTGACAAATGAATATTTATGATTTTCCTAAGTTTTAACAATAATTGGATGTGATTTGGTACATAGCTAAATAAAATATGATGTTACACTTCTATATGTTGAATTTTGGCTGTTGAATTTTTAGAGGTATATACTCCGAGACATGTTGCATGAAAATTAACCTGCAAAGATATGTTTTTTATGGGTATTTTAGTTAGATTATGACTTATTCAAGATTTTCAAATCAAAAAATAAACAGTTTGACAGAAAATTCTGAAAGTACGGACCTACCTTAATACAGAAGTTCTTTATTATAATTTATAGAATATCAAGGATTGGTTTTTCTCTTAAACACTGTAAACCTAGCTTCTTTTTGGAAAGGTCTAAATATTATAAAACTTTTCTTCTCTGTTGTGGCATAAACCTTGCCCCATGGGAATTGGACTAAATTTTGGATTACATTAGTAATGAGATGTAAAAAGATGTTTCTTATCTATTTTGATGTGAAATTTTGAGTCGTATAGCCCCTGCCTTGAAGGTAATGATTTCAAAATAATTTAAGGTTCACTGATACTCTGATAAGAGAGATAACTCTTTATGACATAAATGTCTATTATTCCTTTATAAATTTGCCAAGTTGAAGTGCCTTATTTGTCCAATTTTGCCCCACAAGCTATGCTATAATTATTTGTATTTTACTTATAAAATACATTTCTTTTGGAAAATCATTAAGGTTCAAGCAACATTTTATATGAGTGAGCTGAGGATTTATGAACCTTAATGTTCCCTACATGAAAATGGCCCAACTGTTTTTCATAAAATGTTTTCATAAGAGACCCAAGACTAAAAAAGAAACACCCTTATCCTACTGTACTTCTTTAGAAGAATTAAAAAAAACTTCCTTTTAAAATGAAAATTGTGCTCTTTTAATGTGCCTCCATCTTAGTCCAAAAAGGTCATTACATTTAACTCCACACAACATGGGGATATTAATATACAGGACATAAATATCATCTACCACTGCTAAAACACAACAACAAGAGGCCCAGGGGCCACAGCGCTCACCTGAGCACATCGGCTAGGAAAAAGCACATATCAGATCAGAACTGAAAGTTTACTGGGGGGGAGGGGGGGGGGCTTGAATTTTAACTCCCCAGGGGATCATGATTTGAACATGCTAGAATCTACATTACCTGAGGATGATTCCATATAAATATTACTATTCATGGCTTTGAAGTACTTGAAAAGAAGATTTTAAAAGGTTTCCCTATATATTCCTTGCATAACTTTGGTCGGCCATTTTGGCCCCACCCTAGCCCAAGGGGGTCATGATTTGAACAAACTTGAATTTACACTACCTGAGGATGATTCCAAATGAGTTCCATCTTTCCTGGCCCAGTTGTTCTTGAGAAGAAGATTTTTAAAGATTTTTCCTATATATTCCTTTGTAAAACTTTGATCGGCCATTTTGGCCCCACCCTACCCCCAGGGGTCATGATTTGAACAAATCTGAATCTACACTACCTGAGGATGATTCCACATGAGTTTCATCTTCCCTGGTCCTGTGGTTCTTGAGAAGAAGATTTTTAAAGATTTTTCTTATATATTCCTATGTAACACTTTGATCGGCCATTTCGGCCCCACCCTACCCCTGGGGGTCATGATTTGAACAAATTTAAATCTACACTACCTGAAGATGATTCCACATGAGTTTCATCTTTCCTGGCCCAGTGATTCTTGAGAAGAAGATTTTTAAAGATTTTCCCTATATTCTCCTATGTAAAACTTTGATCGGCCATTTTGGCCCCACCCTACCCCGGGGGGGTCATGATTTGAACAAAATTAAATCTACACTAACTGAGGATGATTCCACATGAGTTTCATCTTTCCTGGCCCAGTGGTTCTTGAGAAGGAGATTTTTTAAAAATGCCATTAATTTTTCTCTAATTCATAATTATCTCCCCTTGGAAAAGGGTGAGGCCCTTCATTTGAACAAACTTGAATCCCCTTTACCCAAGGATACTTTGTAGCAAGTTTGATTGAAATTGGCCCAGTGGTTCTTGAGAAGAAGATGAAAATGTGAAAAGTTTACAACAACTACAACGACTACAACAATGACAATGAAGATGACAAACAATGGACAAATTTTGATCAGAAAAGCTCACTTGAGCCTTTGGCTCAGGGGAGCTAAAAAAAATCAGCTACCAGTACGACACAAAATAAATATCAGCTACCACTACAACACAACATATATATCAGCTACCACTTCAACACAACACATATATCAGCTACCACTACAACACAACACATAATTATATGGTCTACCACTACCAATACAACATAAAAATCAGCGACCACAACACAACCTATATACATGTATGAGCTACTACAATACAACATAATTATCCACTACCACTAAAAAACAAAATAAATATCAGCTTTCACTACAACACAACATAAATATCAGCTACCACTTCAACACAAAATATATATCAGCTACCACTACAATCCAACATAAATATCTGCTACCACTACAACAGGGCATTCTCTCCTGCGCTTAAATTTGCGTTCTAGTATTTACTAAATAAACAACCATAGCAAAATTTGTATATAGCATTAAATTTTAAATAAAACACGAGCAAATCCAACGAAAAAAAATTAACTTAGAAAGAATAATTTTAAGTTATGCTTATTTTAAACACAAGCAGAAAAAGGGAAAAGAAAAACACTTTCAGTCTTACCCTGATAAAGTTCATTGACATTAAGTTGACTAGAGGAGAAGAAAATTCGTAGTGGGAATATTGACTGATATGTTGCTGGCAGTGATACTTGGACTTCATTCAGAACTGTACAGAAACAGTCAGACACTTTCCTTGTTAATGGATTCCCTACAGATTGTATGCTTCCTGAAAAAGAATTTGTTTGATAGGGTCAGTCAATGGCCACCACTTTTTTTTTCAAATAAGCCAAAACTGTTTGAAAATTTCTATGATTTGAACATATTAACTAGAATTTTTTTTCACAAAATTAAAAAAAAAAATTATTTAGAGAAATAAAAAAGTTTACTTTATTTTTTTGTTTTACTTACTTATTGATATCACACATGAAATGATTTCCTCATCAGTATGGAGACAATGTACATAACATTTAAAGTCAGCCAACTGAATATCCTTCCTCCATTCTGAAACTAAAGGGTACTAAATGAATAAAATGATTACGTAAAAGTAATTTCTTGCTGAATATAGTTAATGGTAAAATCCTCTGATATTTCTTGCTGAATACCCACATACACAAAACCAGATGCCCATGGGTCACAATGCTCACCTGTGTCATCTTGGCCATGCTATATTTTTTTTTAAAGATTTTTCCCCTTTTTAATACTTTGAAATTGTGGCCCCATCCTGCCCCAGGGACCATGATTGGAATATTTCAGAATCTACACTACTTCTTTTTACCTCTCAGGAAGCTCCCATATAAATTTCAGTTTTACTGACCCTGTGATTCTTGAGAAAAAAGATTTATTAATGACCCCACCAATTTTTGTTTTTCTTGCTTATCTCCCCTTGGAAGGGAACTTGGCCCTTCATTTTTATAATATAAAATTCTCTCTTCCCAAGGCTGCTTTATACCAACTTTGATTAAAATTGGCCAAATGGTTCTTGAGAAGATGAAAAGTTTATACACACATACAGAACACAGACATTGCATGATCAGAAAAGCTTTCTTGAGCCCTAACTCAGGTGAGCTAAAACAACTAATTTGTAGCTGTTTTAGTGTGCTTTGATATATATCTTCAAAAATTCATTAACAAAACTTAATTCTTACATTTTCTTTTCAAATGTTGCATGGAGATTACTGACATCCACGACACTTACCAGACAATTCCTGGAGGTCAGTTCTAGCCGTAACCTGCCATTCTATGAGAGCATCTTTAGGTAGCCTTGGTACTTCTACATACACCACAGTGGGTGAGGGACTGTCACATCCCTCTACTCCAAACTCCACATCCTTTTGACAACAGAGGAAACAGTAGTCACAATGTCAAATTTATTGTTTACTCCAAGGCTGCTCAGTATTCAAATAAGTAAATGAAGACAGAAAGTTTTTGAAATGCAATATACATATAATTGAAATCTTTCTTTTTTCTCTAAAAATGAAAAAAAAAATTATGCCAAAACTTTTTTTTTTACCTTATATCTTAATTTGTAAGTTTCCAACTCCTTTCGAGCTGACTGTACATAGTCAATATTAGTTACATAACAAATGACCATATTTAGTGTGTCCATCCCACAATGCATTGCATCTAATATCCTGTGTACATGGCGGAGAGACAGTCTAGCCTGTGGAACTATTCCTCCACTTATGATTGACAAGTTAGCTGGGCACATTGCTATCTGTCCTGCCATATAAAGTTTGTCTTTGACCTGTTTTAATAGAAAAAAATGCACCTCATTGTTGGAAATAAGAACAAATTCCAAAGTTTCTATGACATCTTTAAAGGGCAATAACTCAGTCAAATAGAGGAGTTTCCTCAAAGTGTAAACTGGTTTCCAGGGTTGTCCCTAAGAACTGAAATAGCATGGACATTTAAAAAGTAGAAGGGAAAATGGGGGGTTCTTTGTCCAACAGGGGGTTGAGAAGTAAGAATGACTGGGGTACATACCAGAATAACAGGGGTTTTACAGAGAGTGAATGTCATTTCCCTAATAGGTCTTAGGTCTTATTGACAACCCTGGATTTCACTGTTTAAGGAGATATGAATTCATGTACAGTAATAATATTCAATTGGTAAGCTATTAACAATTAGTGTATGTGCCACTTACTGTGACATACTAAATGCAAACATGGCAATGCTTATAAATTGAATTGAACTGAATTAGCCTTACCTTCACACATTGACTATAAGGGCCTATGTTTGCTGGTGCCCAGTGGGATAGGCCCTGAACATGCATTGTTTGTCTCGCATTGACATCCTTGTTACAGTAACAATCTATCTGAAGGGCCGCATTAGGGGGTAAGTCGGCCTGGACACAAATTCTGTAAAAAAGCGAAATGGTTTGTGTTATAATGAAGAGCCTGGCCAATGGTAACCTCATTTTATATTAACCCCCCCCCCCCCCAAAAAAAAACTTTGCCATATCAATAGATTTGAGATTTGATTTGATCATATACTTGTTCAAAACAAGTTTGACCATATGCACAGCATACCTTGCGGGTGGATTTATCCCAAAATATGTTTTGTAAACAGAATTAACTTCTCCAAACATGGCCATGTCTTGAACATACAGGTGAACCATTGCTACACAACTCATGCCACAGCCATTGGTTGCTGGAGAGTTTTCCAGGATCTCTAAAACAAGATGTTTTTTTCAAATTCATAGTCCATCATAATAGACAAAATTGTATTGAATCCCTTTCCTCTAAATACATGTTTAACTTTTATCTCTATTTTAACTGTTAAAAAAAAATAACAATAGATCACTAATTTATGACCTCATTAAAATAAAAATAGCAAACTTGAACTGCAGAAGGGAAATTATTTTCCATACAATATACTGGTACACTGCTTTCAATTAATTTTGTACCTAAACGGCATTAAGAAAGGACAGAGGTCATGCGACTAACCAAAGAATTTTTAAGAGCAATTATCCTAGACTCATGTTAGGATATTTTTGTGTTGTATGCAGAGTGGCTGCATTTCCTTCCATCTCTTGATATCTGTAAGGAGTATTGATCTTTTTTTTTGGCACATGTAAAGCTTGACTTTTTGACTTTTGAAAACACCTAGAAAACAGACCTCATAACCTTTGACCCTGACCTTTGATCAAAGAAAGTTTACACTGCTGATATACTGCAAATATAGTAACAAACCTTTCAGCTTGTTCATTGTTTTGGTGGTAATTTCTGTTAAGCTGGCATTTCCTGTGCTCAGACCAACAAGTCTAGTTATCCATATATGGTCATGTTTAGTTACCACTGAGATTAGTTTGTCTTCACTCACTGAAATGAACAAAACCATACATGATCATAAAAATGTATGAGAAGTAAGGTAAAACCAGTCTTTTTTGTGCTTCTGAGAAAAAAATGACATAAATAATACATGTTGCACAGGCATATATCACCCTCCTCCTTTCTCGGAGGTTATTCACAGTATTTGAAAGATAAAGAACAATCTTTACATTATAAGTACATGTACATGAAAACAATAGAAAATATTTGTGATTATACAAAATTCTCACAAACAGTGGTGTGATTATTTTTCTATTTAAAAAAAATCAAGCATAATATTCTAGTAAAGTACTCTACATGTAAGTGGGACTGTGTTGTGACTTTCCTCTCCGTTACAAGTCATAGGTGGATCTAGTGTGGTGTTCTCCAGCTGCAGGGAGGAGTGTAGTTGAGAGCTTCTTAACATTGGTAAATCTTTTACTCTGTCTGCCATATCTTCTTTAGGTACCTGTGTAGATTTATTGTGTGGATATTAAGAATATTTCAATATTTTTAACAAATATCATAAAAAATTCGAAGATATTGTTACATAAACTTGTAACAATTACAGATTCTATCAGAAATTACAATGTCACCTGTGGTTTTTCCTCTAGATGTGCTCTTTTTATGTTCAAGTAAGCTACTGGGGCAAAGGCATCATCAGAATGGATAACTGTTTCTACCTCATCTCTACAAATATAATACATGTACAGCATATTTTTCAAAATTAAATTGGTCATCTTTATCAATAATATCAACTGCAAATTTTACATAAAATATTTAGAAAGAAAGCTGTCTCCATTAGAGTAATAAATTTCCCCTAAGAAGAAAAACATTTTTCCTTTTACTTTATTTTTATGAAGTTTTTTTTTTATCAAATAGAAAACCATGAAAATGAAATCATCATCATTTGTGGGGAGGGGGGGGAGGGCAATCTTCAAGGATTTTGAGGGTTGCCCTCACCCATGAAATAAGATCCCCCCACATACATGTAACAATTGATTAAATCTTCTGTCTTTACAAGTCATCTCAAATCAGTAAAATTTTGCTGCCAATGCACAAGTATTGAGCCCCTCAAATGATTCCATTGTATACCTATACCCTACAATACATGTATGTGATTTTTAAAATTCCTTCTGTAGATAATAATGATTAAAATATTAAACTTACATCACAATTCGCTTCTCAAACAGAGGACAGTCCACAGTAAAGGTCTCATACTCCCCACCTTCACCGCATACATTCAACTGATATTTCTCTTTCTAAATATAGAAAAATAATAATAGTACATGCTTTTATGTTGTACATAAATGTATATACTTTAGTTTACTGTTACATATACTATAACATGTAGATCCTAAATTTAAAAGTATAAAATAGATCATCAACACTTCGTGAGAATGCAGCAGTAAATTTATTTTGTTTATAACAAAATAAACTTACTGCTGCATTCTCACGAAGTGCTGGTGATCTGTTTTATACTTTTAAGTTAACAACTTTAGTTACAGACCCTATTGAATACCTTTCAGTATCCACACGTGAGAATCTTCCGCAATTTTAATCTCAAGGTTTTGGTCTCCAGGTTTTCTTTGTTTTAGATCCTAAATTTATGCAAAATGATATAACTTACCATTTTCTTTAAATGAGGGTACATCTCTCCCAGAGTTTTACCTAAGTGTTTAGGGTCTAAACCTAAAAATAAAAAAAGAAGAAATGCATTGTTCGTGCTGATGGTAATTTTAAAAACTAAGACAATATTAAATCATTAAGTTGGACAATATATTCTGGGATATTATAGGTAACTTATTGTATATTTTTAACCTTACCAAGGGAAGCAACTTTGATAAGAACTGCTGTCACCTGTGAATCTATCATCTCTTTCAACAGTTCATCTTGATCTCTCCTCCATAAATAGGCAAGTGAGGTAAGTCTGAGCCTCTGACATCTGAGTAAAAAAAAAACATTTTAAATCTGGAAACTAAGTGGGACACACTGACGGACAATTGGACAGACAGATGGATAGACAGCTAGACAGACAGCTAGACAGCTGGACAGATGGACAGACAGACAAACAAAATGACAGACAGGTGGACAGACAGATGAACAGACATGTAAAAAACTTAAAGTTTCAATGGATGGGTAGGTGGAGGTCAGTAGAGGTGGCGCTACAGCATATGTCATGTATCAGAAAATTAATTCTCTAAACTTACTCCATTATAAATTTGAAAGTTATTAAAATACTGTGACATGTGTTTTATCATATTTCACAATTTTGAAATGTTGTTCTATACATGTACAGAATTTTGAAGCAAATTTGATACTGACATAAGCTGACTTACACATTTTCCACTCTGACTCTTTGATAATCTGACAAAATAGCCCCGACTGATACAGCCTCAATTCTACATTCGTCCTGAGAAAAATGAAAATAAAACTACATAAAAATTATATTACATTAATCCAAGAAATGTTAACGCTTACCTCGGTACATAAAAAGGGTCCTTGTATTTATACTCATGCATTTCCAGACATTTTTATGAAAAAATTGAAAGAGGTTAATTGTTATTTTCATCACTCAGATCAAACTGGCTGAAAGTACAGGCATTACCATCTAAACAAGAAAAATATGCAAGTAGATGTACCTTAACTTTTTTGAGTAAGTTGAATAAATCTTCTACTTCATCATCTTCTGTGACCGTGTAATCTCTGCCTATAGATTTTGAGGAGCCATGAATTGTATGTCTATATAAGGGGAGACCAATGGCTTCTGCATACAAGTCTATGCCATGGTGTCCTACTGTTTGGAACATATAGCTGTCCATTTCATCTGAAAAATGTGACAATATCATATTTATTACACATGACAATATCAGAACTATCATAATTTTATAAATTATTTTTATTATCATAATGTTTCCACTAACTTTCCAGTAAATCCCATTCTATAATGTGAATACCAAACTATTTTCATATAGTATATAAGGGATTTATAAACTTAGACATACTAAGGCCATAAGCTGAAATAATGCAAAGCTTCCTTTTTAGAGGCAAATCATTGGTAAACACGACAAGGATCAAATATAAGACCACTAGAGCATCAGTTCAATGTGTTGCTGATTAGGCCACAGAACACCTTAAAATATACAATCTAATTTATACAATTTTGTTCACCTCATATTTCTCACTTTGAATATGCATGTATTTATAGTGTTAATTTGTGGTATGTTTTTATTTTTTTGTGTTATGTTATTAATGTTCATGACTGTATGTTGACATGGTAATTGTCAATAAAGTGAATTGAATTGAGTATTAAAATTGTACATTGTAGTTTCATGTTTGTGATTCAAAACAAGATAAAAGCTAATCCGATTTTAATGATTGATTGATCATATATTGTTTAACGGTGAGCCGGCAATATTTCAGCCATATTTCGGTGGATGCTACTAGTTTGTTTATTGACTGGTTTTTGAAAGTTTTTGGTTCCTCTGCCTACTCTTTTTCGAACTCCAGAGAAGCAATCTTTTATGTGCCAAGGGAGTTCTTATCCTTGACACGGGGCACCATTTAATGTCCCATCCGACGGACTAAATCTGATTTTAAGAAATACCTGGCAGTCATTATTGACAAGAATATTACAGGAAAGGAAATGTAGAATGTTTTTGTTTTAATAAATTAAACATCATTATTGAGATTTGATGTCTGCAGTAAGCTGGGGGCAGGGGATTTAATTAAATTGTCAAATTTGTAATATCAGCATAATTATAAAAAACTGTCTCCAGTTTGCAAATGTACCTTGCGTCAAACTATTTAGTAATAGTATATTCAAAACATGACACTATCATATCAAGACTAACCAACTGATACTTGTGACATTCAGATAGGTGACCCATTTAATTGATTGATTGTATATTGTTTAATGTCCCTCTGGAGAATTTTTTACTCATATGGAGACACAACCGGTGGAGATCGAGCTGCAAATTTTGTCCTATACTCTGCACTCAGGGTCATTGAGCAGTGAGGGATCTTTTTCACCTACTGAGACACAGAACCTCGGTTTATACATTCTCATCCGAAGGACCAGTCTCCACGCCCCACAGTGGGATTCAAACCCGCAACATAAGGATCAACTCCTTACCTTGCGACTCTAGAGCAGACGCTCTAACCACTGCCCCACAAGGGCGACATGAACCATTTAAAATGTCAATGTGAAGATGACCCTTAGCTGATCATACCTTTCTTTTCTGGTTTTAGGTTGGCTAGTGCAACAATGTGATGCCCCTCACTCACACACTGCATCATATTATAACAGCTGTCTTTACCTCCACTAAAAAAAAAAAAATTCTGAAAGCATGATACATGTATAATGACAGCTCATCTTATAAAAGCTATTATTAATATATATCCCATTTATATAAAACTTTCTTCAAGTTGATATCTACTGACAACATATAACTCAAAGTCAAAGATTCAGATACCGCAGTACTCTGTCTTTTGTAACCAACACTGATCAACAATTTGAACAAGATCCACACTTAAATTTCAAAGAAAAAAAAATCCTTAACATTCAATATTCATGGTTTAACCTTAACTTTTAGAATTTTTTTGTGAAGAAAGAATATTCTATGTGATGCACAACTCTACCTTACAAGTGCGACCACCTTCATATTTGTTCTTTATGACAATTTACGTAATCTTGGCTCAGCATTTACTCATTGTTTACAAAATTCTACCACAAGTGTAAAAACCGGAAGTGGATCTCTCAGTGTTCACGTCACACATCTTTAACTTTCCGGGGTCATTTTAGCGTTTGATTGCAAGGAATGTTGCATGTAAAGAAAAGCGTGTAAATAACCTTGCATTGTTTTTTTCATTACAACTGGACAAGTTTGAAGACATCGTATTTTTGGATTAAATTGCTATCAGTTATCCAGATGTAAGTATTCTAGGATATTTCTTTAACATTGCCAGTATTCCCCGAAAATATTCAACTATAAAGTGATTAAAAGTTCGTTTCTGTTATATTTCTTATGTTTTACCCTCAGCTGGCCTCAAGGGCTGCAAATGTCGACTTAATGATAAAAAAATGAATACATTTGTTTTTTTTTAACCCAAAGACTCTGGCAAATCTTCAATTTCTTTACAGCATGCAAGATGTCATGGTTGTCAGGACTGACAGGTAAAGCTGAGGATTTTCTTAACAAGTTGGACCAGTCAGCAGCCCAAGCTCTGACCAAAACTGAGGAGGAGGGTCTCCTGAATACCTCCCTACCCGTCACATCTGGCCGCCACACCCCTCCCTCCTCCCTGTCAACACGACACTTACAACAAGCAGGGTCCCAGAGTGTCCCAGCCAAGACATCAAGAACTAGTGGTGATTTCTCCTCATATGGCGTTAGTACACCCGTAAAACCAAGCAAACTCCAGACTAGTGGAACTCCTAAAACTGTGAAACCTAAAACTACAGAAACTGCCACCAAACAGGCACCACCAGAGCCAAGTGTTAGTCAGGATGTGTCATCCAAGAAGAAAATAGATACAGATGCTGCTTTGTTTGACTTTCTTAATAGTCCCGAACCATTAGAGACGAAAAAGGCAGAATCATCAGAGACTAAAAAGAAGACCACACCGGCCAGTAGTGCTAGACATTCCAGACAATCAAGTACATCCTCAGTGGTTTCAAACAAGGGTGGAAAGGTCATACAAGAAAGTGACACCCCTGTTTCCACCAGTGGATCATCTATTGTTCACATAGAATCTCTGCCATCAGGCTCAGGTATACTGATCCTTGAAAATTATAGAAAATATATTATTTTATTACTAAACTAGAGGTACTGTGAGCGATGAGCTCACAGAAAACCCCCCGCCTCCCATATGGTTATAACTGGTGAAAAAATGTTTTCTTTTGGAAGGTGCACAATGGCAATATATAGAATGTGAAAGTTTCATCAAATTTCATTCAGTGGTATGAGAGGAGTTGCGGATAATTACTAACAGACGGACGGACAGACAGACGGACGGACGGACGGACGGACGTACAGACAGACGGACGGACCAAAATACGTAATATATCCTTTGATGAAAGAAAACAGAAAACTTAGATTCTATTGGAATGTATGTCATGTAAAACAATATATAACCTGTTGATCTGGTTCAGGCTTGACTTATCAGCTGACAATTACTCCAAAACTGTAATTATCCTTTGTTGAAAGTTGAGCTGCTTGTTCCTGATATGTATTTTAAAATATGACACTTCTTATGTGACATCTCTACAATATGTCCATATTATTTTGATGTTTTGACTTCATGATCTTGTTTTCATCTTAGATCCTGGAGACAGGAGTCCCACTGAGCTAGATGGCACCACTGATGTGGCCGCCCTGGCAGACGCCATGATGGAACAGAGTCCTAGCAACAGTGTCCATAGCAACCAGGAGGTGGAGCCACATGGTGAACTAGAACAGAAAGTCTCATCACTAGAACTGGAAAACAAACTCCTGAAAAATGAAGTGTCTTCACTGAACCAAGAAATGGCAACTGTTCTTCAGAGGTCCAAAGATGCACAAAGTGGTATGCATCCATGTGGATGTTTGTCAAATTTGAATTTCTTTGCTTCAAACAAGTTAAACTTCGATCCTTTGACCCATTCACCAAGATCACTATTAAAATTTTTGCAGATCAAAGGATTTTATTTCATGATTGCAATTTCAGAAAAATTGAAAATTAATGCTGTAAATGCCCATTAACTTGAAGACTCAAAATTGAATGCACACTTTCTTTTTAAGCTGATTAGTGAATCCAAAATTTGATGGTGTTTCACCCTATCTAATGCATTCAATTGTTTAAGATCATCTTATTTAATGATATTGAAATTTTAACTATCATCCTACTAGTATTTTTTTGTGTCTTTTTAGTTTTTAATTGTAAGTGATCTTTGAAAACATCTTTATTTCATTCATATAATTCTTTGTCTTGATCAGAGGTGGAGCAGATGAGGAGGAAGATGGACAATTATCAGAAGACCCAGTCCCAGTCTGACCAGTTGGTGAGGGAGCTACAGTCCAGGGAGTCGGACTTAATGGAGGCCCTACAAGCCAAGGACTCCCAGTTAGGAGTTCTCCGGATCCGTCTGGAGGAGGCAGACAAACAGATGGAATCCAAACAGAGGAGCATCTCCGAGCTGGAGGAGGAAAGGGGCAGGTAAGTGTCTACATAACAGAAAGCACTGATTTGTTGGGATAAAATTTTGTTGATATGTCAGTTAAAATAGTTTTGTTGGCATTGAATTTTGTTGTTTTGGAAGTAACCCTATACATATATACAGCAAAACTCGTTTAGTACCAACATGGATATAGCGAATTTACAGATATAGCAAAGTCATCTTGGATCCCCAGCTATGTAAATTTAATACTTTTTATACGGTTATAACGAATACAGATATAAATGTATTTACATTTAGCTATGTATTCTTTGCTGTAGTCACATAAAATTTCATGTGGAATTTAATTTCAATGATAATTGTTAACAATGAAATAAACAAAATTCAATCCACATGAACATTTGTGCTTTTACAGTAAATGTATTCAGATTTTAAACAGTTTATGATAAATATGAAAGAATAAATCTCTAGTATTTATCCTCAAACTCTTTTGAATTTATTTTTGTGACATCACAGTCTAATTAGAATTAGATGTTCCCACTAAAGTTTGCTACCATTTATCAAACGTTTAATAAGTGGTAGCAGATTCTAATTTTAATTAGGTTGTTGACATTAATTTTGATAATGCAAGATATATTTATGGGAAGAGGATATTTAATTAGCATTTTAGTAGATACGGTACATGTATTGTGTGTATTTCAGGATATTGCGGGACCACAGTGACTCTTCCGGAGTACATAGCCAAGCTCTGGATTCTGTTCAGGCCAAACTGTCGGAGGTAGAAGGGGCACTGAAGAGGGAGCAGGATGCCCTCAAACAAGTACAGGTGTGTTGATTTATATATTAATAGAAAAAGGGAAAATTGAGGTGACTGAAATAAAATATTGATTTGATTTATATATACAGAGTCTTTTAGCATTAAAAATTAAGAGAGAATTTTACATTTTATACAGCAAGAAGCCTCTGATCGACAGAGCAGACTGGAACAGGAACAGAGAAGTCTGGCCGATGCTTTGACAACGGCAGACAGGAGAGCAACGGAGGAGAAAAGTAGGTCATGAGGAACAAGAATTTGATCAATAGTTAATCAATTCATGACACAAGAGAAAATCCTGAAATAGAGCTTTGCATGTTACATTTTTCCCTATGTACATATATCTGCATGTTAGCATTATAAACTTGCATTTGTTCAGTTTAAAAATGTCAGAATTGTTGAAATAATTTGCACTCTTAAAGACTTTCCATAGAAATCAATGATGCATGTAAAACAAGTCTTTTGTGTTATTCAGGTAAAGCAAGTGATCTGGCCAATCAGCTGAAGGCAGCCAAGCAGAGTGCTGACAGTGCCAGACAAGAGCTGGCAGATTATAAAGAGAAAGCAGCAAGGATTTTACAGGTGCACACATGTATTTATTCTAGGAATATTTTTTTCCTTTAACATATAAAAATTATAACCCTTTGAAAATAGGGTTGTGAGGTGTTTTATTTTTAGCCACAGGTCTGTAGCTCACTGGTCACCTGTAGTCCATCTATACTATTTCAGTGAGCTACAGACCTGCAGATGTTATATTGTCTGTTGTTTTGGATTGTTGATGCTCTGAGACTAGCTTTAAGAAATGCCATATTTTGAATTACAGTCCAAGGAGCGGCTGATAGCCAGTCTAAGGGAGGGGTCAGGGGCCTCTGGGGAGTCTATGGGTGTGTCTAACCTAGAGTATGACTCCGTGAAGCAGGAACGAGACATGTTTAAAGAGGAATTACAGCAGTACAAAATGACAGTCGAGAACCTGAGAATGGAGCTTTTGGTAAATATTATTTGTGAAGAGTATGTAAATTAAAATTCATTTTATTTTTTCTTTGTTAAGTGAAAACAAATGTAAGTTGGTTGTGTTTAAAAACTATCCTGGTCTCTTTAAAAAAATTTGTTTGTTGTGTTGTTTCAAACCAAAGAGCATTTATGAATTCTATGAATTCAAGAGCATGAATCCCAATGTTGAGTTTAAAAAAATATTGCTATTAATGATGTTTATTTATGTAGGACATGGAAACCCAACTTCAACATGACAGTGACACTGCTAATGAACAGATTAGATCTCTGGAGGACAATGTCCACAGTGAAAAACAGAGGAGAGAGGACACAGAGCAGGAACTCTTGAAACAAAAACAGGTACAAGGGGAAAATAAAAACAGGTATAGGGGGAAAACAAATACAAGGGGAAAACAGAAAGAACAGAGAGGATGCAGATCAAGAAATTTTAAAACAAAAACAGGTAAAGGGGGAAAATACAAACAGGGAAAAAAAAATCAGGTACAGGGTAAAAACAGAAACAGGTACACGTGGAAACAGAAACAGGTATAGGGGAAAACATACAGGGCGAAATCAGAAACAGGTATAGGGGTAAAACATACAGGGGGAAATCAGAAACAGGTATAGGGGGAAAACATACAGGGGGAAATCAGAAACAGGTATAGGGGGAAAACATACAGGGGGAAATCAGAAACAGGTATAGGGGGAAAACATACAGGGGGAAATCGGAAACAGGTACACGTGGAAATAGAAACAGGTATAGGGGGAAAACATACAGGGGGAAATCCGAAACAGGTACATGTGGAAGTAGAAACAGGTATAGGGGGAAAACATAGAGGGGGAAATCAGAAACAGGTACAAAGGAAAACATAAATAATGGTAGGTACTGTAGGGGGGAAAATAGGTAGAGGTGTAAAACAGAAACAAGCACAGTGGTCAAACAGGAAGATTTGTGGGGATACTGGGAGAAATGGGGGGGGGGGGGCAGGTACAAGGTAAAATATTGAAGAATTGGAAATTTTTTTTAAAAAAATAATAAGTGTAAAGAATTTTACATTGAACATATTATTTGCAAATCATTTAGGTGAATGAATATGCAGAATGAATTTGATGCACAATCAAAGGAATGAATTCCTTTAAAATTGAAAAAGAATGAAAAAATGGTATATTAGAGAATGATTTTTTTGTGAACAAGAGATAAACATTATATGACAGGAGTTACAGTACAACATAGAGGAGCTGAGGAAGTGTAAAATGAATTACCAGACCTGTATCAAGGACAGAGAGGCAGAGATTGAGAAACTTAGAAACCAGGTGGGTTTTTGTTAAACTCATATAATTACCATCCACAGAAAAGTACAAAATGTTAATGGCTCTTGATATTTTGGGCCGAGAAAAATGTACCCTAGTAAAAATCTATTGTTTCATGAAGCAGTGATTGATGCTAAAGCCTGAAAGAATTCTCTATGGACTCTGTATGATATATTGTGTCATGGAATAAGATTTCTTATTGGTTTTAATCAGATCATGACCAAGTCAATGAGTTCATCTACTGAGAATGAGCTGGAGGCTCGAGTAAAAACACTGACAGAAAGCCTTATACAGAAACAAACAACACTGGAGACACTGAGCACACAGAAAAACTCACTGGCCTTACAGTTAGAGAGAATGGAGGTAAGAAAAACAAACAACACTGGAGACACTGAGTACACAGAAAAACTCACTGGCCTTACAGTTAGAGAGAATGGAGGTAAGAAAAACATACAACACTGGAGACACTGAGCACACAGAAAAACTCTCTGGCCTTACAGTTAGAGAGAATGGAGGTAAGAAAAACATACAACACTGGAGACACTGAGTACACAGAAAAACTCACTGGCCTTACAGTTAGAGAGAATGGAGGTAAGAAAAACAAACAACACTGGAGACACTGAGTACACAGAAAAACTCACTGGCCTTACAGTTAGAGAGAATGGAGGTAAGAAAAACATACAACACTGGAGACACTGAGCACACAGAAAAACTCTCTGGCCTTACAGTTAGAGAGAATGGAGGTAAGAAAAACATACAACACTGGAGACACTGAGCACACAGAAAAACTCACTGGCCTTACAGTTAGAGAGAATGGAGGTAAGAAAAAACAAACAACACTGGAGACACTGAGTACACAGAAAAACTCTCTGGCCTTACAGTTAGAGAGAATGGAGGTAAGAAAAAACAAACAACACTGGAGACACTGAGTACACAGAAAAACTCACTGGCCTTACAGTTAGAGAGAATGGAGGTAAGAAAAAACAAACAACACTGGAGACACTGAGCACACAGAAAAACTCACTGGCCTTACAGTTAGAGAGAATGGAGGTAAGAAAAACAAACAACACTGGAGACACTGAGCACACAGAAAAACTCTCTGGCCTTACAGTTAGAGAGAATGGAGGTAAGAAAAAACAAACAACACTGGAGACACTGAGCACACAGAAAAACTCTCTGGCCTTACAGTTAGAGAGAATGGAGGTAAGAAAAACATACAACACTGGAGACACTGAGTACACAGAAAAACTCACTGGCCTTACAGTTAGAGAGAATGGAGGTAAGAAAAAACAAACAACACTGGAGACACTGAGTACACAGAAAAACTCTCTGGCCTTACAGTTAGAGAGAATGGAGGTAAGAAAAACATACAACACTGGAGACACTGAGTACACAGAAAAACTCACTGGCCTTACAGTTAGAGAGAATGGAGGTAAGAAAAAACAAACAACACTGGAGACACTGAGTACACAGAAAAACTCACTGGCCTTACAGTTAGAGAGAATGGAGGTAAGAAAAAACAAACAACACTGGAGACACTGAGCACACAGAAAAACTCACTGGCCTTACAGTTAGAGAGAATGGAGGTAAGAAAAACATACAACACTGGAGACACTGAGCACACAGAAAAACTCACTGGCCTTACAGTTAGAGAGAATGGAGGTAAGAAAAACATACAACACTGGAGACACTGAGCACACAGAAAAACTCTCTGGCCTTACAGTTAGAGAGAATGGAGGTAAGAAAAAACAAACAACACTGGAGACACTGAGTACACAGAAAAACTCACTGGCCTTACAGTTAGAGAGAATGGAGGTAAGAAAAACATACAACACTGGAGACACTGAGTACACAGAAAAACTCACTGGCCTTACAGTTAGAGAGAATGGAGGTAAGAAAAAACAAACAACACTGGAGACACTGAGTACACAGAAAAACTCACTGGCCTTACAGTTAGAGAGAATGGAGGTAAGAAAAACAAACAAGACTGGAGACACTGAGTACACAGAAAAACTCACTGGCCTTACAGTTAGAGAGAATGGAGGTAAGAAAAAACAAACAACACTGGAGACACTGAGCACACAGAAAAACTCACTGGCCTTACAGTTAGAGAGAATGGAGGTAAGAAAAACATACAACACTGGAGACACTGAGTACACAGAAAAACTCACTGGCCTTACAGTTAGAGAGAATGGAGGTAAGAAAAAACAAACAACACTGGAGACACTGAGTACACAGAAAAACTCACTGGCCTTACAGTTAGAGAGAATGGAGGTAAGAAAAAACAAACAACACTGGAGACACTGAGTACACAGAAAAACTCACTGGCCTTACAGTTAGAGAGAATGGAGGTAAGAAAAACATACAACACTGGAGACACTGAGTACACAGAAAAACTCACTGGCCTTACAGCTGGAGAGAATGGAGGTAAGAAAAACAAACAACACTGGAGACACTGAGCACACAGAAAAACTCACTGGCCTTACAGCTGGAGAGAATGGAGGTAAGAAAAAACAGTGGTGAAATTACCAGGCAGTCGTGTTGCATGAAAACCAGTTGATTGGTGATTTACAAGTTTATGTCATTGAGATGCACTTGCACACATGAAATATTTACTCCTATTGAATGTTTTCTATATACTGTTCATTCATCCTGTACATAGTAAAGTAAGATATATGGAAGTTTGTGTTTGCTTTAAGTTCATTTCCTTAACAATTTAGAATTTTAAAGAGGCCGTGTCAGTAACCATTGAGATTTACATGGAAAGTCAAAAATTTTGAATTGGGCAAAAACCACCCTAAAATATTTGAACAACAACAAAAAACACATTTGAGACAAATTTTACAAATTTATTCATCATCATTGGTTTCCATGGCAACAAATGTGATTTGCATAGTAAATTCTCAACGAAACATTGTAAAATAATACAAATTTAGACATATTTAAATGCAGAGGGGGGAACAATTGGAAGGTCTAAATTTGTTTTCTTATACTGAAATAATGAAAGATGCATCAGAAGAAAATATTTTTATGTCTGTAAGTATTTTTAAAAATTTTGATATGGTTGCTATGGCAACCGAAAAATGACAAGATTTTCATGATGGGAATATCCGTGGAAAATTAAGTTTTTCAAAAGTTGAATACTTAAAAACGCAACAACCGTAGATATTGTATGTCATACAAAGTTAAAGATATATCCCAATACTATGAAATTATAAAATAAAAATTGGTAGTCGGATGTCCAAATTTTTTTTTTCAGAAATCAAAATTTGCATTTTTTTCAAAACACTTTCAATGGATTTTAGCAAGTTTTGGCAATTTTTTTTTAATATTACAACAGATATTTAACAGTTAGATGCCATATCTACAGAAACATAGTACTTTAGAAAAATCTCCATAAAATGTACGACTTTTTAGCTCTACTGGTCAGAGACCAGAAGAGCTTATGCGATAGTAATGCGTCCGGCGTCCGTCCGTCTGTCCGTCTGTCTGTCTGTCTGTAAACAATTTTTCAAAATGCTACTCCTCCTACAGTTTTGATCTGATTTCAATATTACTTGGCATATAAGTAGACTACACTAAGATACATAATTCTGTGTATCGGTTTTTGATTTCGACGAACGGTGTTGGCGTTGTTACTAAAAATAGAAATTTCTGTGAAATTCTTTCAAAATGCTACTCCTCCTACAGTTTAGGTCTGATTTCAATATAACTTGGCACACAAGTAAACTACACTAAGATACATAATTCTGTGTATCGGTTTTTGATTTCGACGAACGGTGTTGGCGTTGTTACCAAAAATAGAAATTTCTACGAAATTCTTTCAAAATGCTACTCCTCCTACAGTTTTGGTTTGATTTCAATATAACTTGGCACACAAGTAGACTACACTAAGTTACATAATTCTGTGTATCGGTTTTTGATTTCGACGAACGGTGTTGGCGTTGTTACTAAAAATAGAAATTTCTGTAAAATTCTTTCAAAATGCTACTCCTCCTACAGTTTTGGTCTGAATGCAATATAACTTGGCACACAAGTAAACTACACTAAGATACATAATTCTGTATATCGGTTTTTGATTTCGACGAACGATGTTGGCGTTGTTACTAAAAATAGAAATTTCTGTGAAATTCTTTCAAAATGCTACTCCTCCTACAGTTTTGGTCTGATTTCAATATAACTTGGCACACAAGTAGACTACACTAAGGTACATAATTCTTTATATCCGTTTTTGACTTCAATGAACATTTTTACCTTGGTTAATAAAGATAGCAATTTCTGTTACTCTCAAATGCTACTTCAAATACAGTTTTAGTCTGATTATAATATAATGTGGCATGCAAGTAGACTACACTAAGAACATAAAGAAACTAATTCAAGGATCATTATTCTCTTTTTAGCTAGTGTAAGTTTCAATTCCCAACTGCTTAAGTACTTTCCTCTTCCTTTGCTATAAGTACAAACCAGTAGAGCTTCAGTCTCGACAGAGACTTCTGGTTTATAAAACAATAGGAAAAGAAATCTCCATAGCAACGGAAATTATACCCTAGCAACTGACTTGACTAGGATCGGCAAAACATGAAACATACACCCAAGAAATTAAAGCCTCTCAAGTGGAATATTTGGGTCATGGCATCCTGATCAACTGTCAACCCTGTTGTACTTACCCCATCATATGAAGTAATAATAAGTACCATTGCTCCACAATGTCTAATAGTTATACAATATAGTCAGAATGTGGACCAAATATGCAAAAACTTGACCATATATGACATAACAAAAGTCGAAGTTATATGTCAAAATGACGCAATGTTCAACCCAAAGGGACGCCAATGCTCTGTCTACTGGCTAATTTACATTGCTGTACCATGTTTATTATTCAAGTTATAAACCTAAAAACAACTAGAACTGTCCAAATGGGACAAAATACCCCCCGCTGGGTTTTTCAGAAGTGCTAAATCATGAATATTTTATGGATCTAAGAGAAGAGAGAAAAGCTGAAACATTTTAGTGCAAATGTAATTGCTCATTAATTTTTTTTTATAAATGAAACGAAGGTGCAGCCTAAAAAATAGACTGAATGTATGGATCACACATGAATTATGAATTTTTTTTGTCAGTGACCTTGAACTTGCATAAATGACCTTGGTTTAAAGTCATGACAAGTTCTCAGGTCAAAGCAATGTTTGTGTAAAATGGGAACCTTTCAAGTTTATCCTTAAGAAAGATATGGACCAGACATGAATTATAATTTTTTTACTGTCTGTGCACTTGAACTTGGACAATTGACCTTGGGTCAAAGTCATGACACACCCTTATGTCATAATTGATCTTTGTGTAAACAAGTATCCAAGTTTATCAAT